CGACCAAATCTTTCCGTAAACTGGTCAGGTACATCATGTACACTCCAAGTGACATCATCGTGGTCTTAGCGTCGCAGGTGAGAGAGAAAGATGGTGCATAGTAAGGCAAGGCGGGTGTTCATCACCACACAAATTTTTGTGCCAAGCGTCGGATATGCTTGCTGAACAAAAAAAAGAAAAAATCTGGATGCCAACAGAAGCAAGTCATCCATCTGCATGCAACAGGTCACTGCACCACAGAGAATCGCCATCAGGGGAGAGAAAGAGGAAGGTATCTTGACGTACAGTAGGGTTCAAGGCAGCATGCCTCCTCTCAGGACCTCAAAGGACAGTTCCCTGTCATGCAGCTGCCCCCCAAAACCTCAGCCTAGTTTGGATGTAGGCCTGGCGGAGGAGGCGGTTTTTTTCATCCAACCTTCCGATTCTCCTCTTTATTATCTCAGTCAAAATCAGTCTCACTCAGCTACCCACCCTGTAGCTAGGTATCGATTTTTCCTCTGACAGAGCAGTTGTGTTCACCCACATCCAAAATGCTGAAACCAACTCTTTGAATCAAGTGCAGTCATGTCAGATTTTGTCTTTCAAAAGGTGGAAGAAACTCGTGCCAGCACGTCTGTTACACTGGGAGTTTCAAATGGACAAGAAATGCATAAAACTACAGTCTGGACCCCCTCCCCCCCACCTGCAAAATAACTGACTGGCCGTCTTGAAAGTCACGCCGTGGTTTTATATTGTCTTTCCGAACTCGGCGCGCGACTGAACTGCCGCCACGTGTTTTTTCTGAACATTCAAAACTCAAATTTCTAGACACCAAGCCTCCCTCAGCAAGCCCACATGTGCAAGGAGTTGAACCATATCACTATGCCACAAAAAAGAAGAAGGGTGACTGCCAACAAAAGCCCATTCTTTTCTTAGTCAGCACGCAAGCTTTTATACGGAAGCTGCCAGTGCAAGGACTAGGTCCCAGCAGCAGGATCAGCAGGATTAGTGAAAGGTAGAGAGGCGGATGGTTCCACTGGTGCCCCCCAGCGATTACACGACCAGTACTTCCTAAAGTCGTGCCCGTTAACGCGCCACGATTTAAGGAAACGTACGGGCCACTACAGGAGCTCCCAAATTCATCAAACTAGAAACGTTTCTACTCTATTTCTTTTCCGCGGCCGATAGCTGGGCCAAGTACTGGTGGTTTAAACCTTCCGTCTATGCCTGGACATAGGAACAATGGGACGCTGCACCCAATTTGCAGCTCTTGGCTGTTCCTATGCAATTCATAGTCTGCATCTATGTCATGTTTGGGACGCTGGACCCGGTTCCCAGCAGCTGACGTACTCTGGGACGCTGGACCCGTTTTCGAGCAGGTGTCCCTCCCCACCAATAGATTGGAGCGCACCCGGCCGGACTACTAGGAGGGGCTGCTCATATCACCCCCCTTAGCAGGACCGGTGGAGGGGAAAAAAAAAAAAAAAAAAGACTTAGAAATTTGCCAAATTGCCAGGTTTTGCTTTGGTTTGACTGAAGAAAAAGAAGAGGGGTGCATGTCAAGACAAGCTGCCAATGCAAGGAGGATTTTTTTTTTTTTTTTTTTTTTTTTTTTTGGTTCGACTGATGGAAGAAAAGGGTGGATGCAAAGTCAATGCGTTGTTTGCACGCACTCTTCTGTGCCCACAGTCCTAGCACAAAGAGGACGTGAAACTTCCATAACAGTAAGCTGCTGTTGCAGTCACAAGGTCCCTTTTCCTGTTTACCTGGATGACCATTGTCATCACCTAGAGGCACTTATGTTGGAGACACCTGTTGAGTATTTTAAACCTCGACACTTGTTGAGTATTTTAAACCTCGTTCTCCTGATGCAGGTCTTTCCCGCGCACATTTCCTGCCGAACTGGCATAGCACATGATTTGCCTCCCGATGCCAGCCATTTTTCATCCCGTAGACCCAATCCGTGAGTTTGTGGCAGGTTCACCGGTGGCCCATTGGAACAAATAGCTGGGACACAACCAGTGATTTAAAGCACCAGTTCAATAGACCCAAATTGCCAAACCCGTCTTTTTTCCACCCGAACGAAGGGAGCCAGTCCCCAGCTCGCCAGTGCATGGAAAGCACATCGTGTATTGGAACCAGCGCCTGGAACCGGTATACCACCGGAATAGAATGGAACCAGCCCCAGCAACTGGTGTACCACTGGTCCACTGGAAGTTCCAGAGGAAGGGGCTTGAACAGGTGGTTTAAACCGCAAGTACACGGCCCCAGCCTTGCAGACAGTTGTTGTCGCCACAAGCAAAACTCGGAGGGGCCACACGGCGTGGGGCGCCGTTGAAAAAAAAAATTGGCCGCCTCCGAAGTGGTGCGGGTTTCGTGCTGACTCCTAGGGGCCGATGTGTGGTGCACTGGTGCTTTAACACTCATCCTGATCACACTCCTGAATCACAAAGGAGATGGACGATCTCAAAGCAGATCCTCAGCCGATGGGGCTGGGGGCTGTGTTTCACAGACCAGCCAATATTGCATTTTATTCGGCTGACCGACAAGAAATATCTTCGATGAAGACGAAAGAATTTGAGAGAAGAACAAGGTGCTGCCCAGAGCAGCTCCCCCCCGCAAATTGGAATGAACCTTCCAGGTGGAACATGGGGAGATACACGGCCATATTCTTTGTCGTCGTCCTTCTAGTCGTCCTCCCCGTCCTCCTTCCCCTCCTCCCACTCATCATCCTGCCCCTCCTCCAAGGCTAGCGGGGCTCGCCATCTCCTCCTGTTCATCGTGCTCCTGTTCCACCTCTGGCAAGGATCGACTCCTTGCCACACCCATCGACTCCTTGCCACACCCATCTCTCCTCTGTCGTGTTCTCCCTCCTCTTCCCTTTTGATTCCCAAGGCCCAACAGGATACAGGTGCTGACAACAAAGTAGGAAAAAAAAACAGTTGTGCATCTTCCCAGTTTCGAGCAAGAGATTCATTCTCATGTTGCGAGTGCTGGAGCCAAGGCCCAATTGGATACATGTGGTGACAACAAAGTAGGAAAGATAAAACAGCCTTGCATCTTCCAAGTTTCGAGGGAGAGATTCATTCTCATTTTCCACATTTGGTGAGTGCTGGAGCCAAGGCCCAACGGGATACACGTGGTGACAACAAAGCAGTTTCATAGCTTTCAACTTTTGTCTTTTTCTACATTGAATCAGAACACGCCCAAACGCGCTGCTATGTACTTGTTTTCAAACATGAGCACTGAGGCGTCCGGCCCTTCCTGAAACTTCCCACACAGAAAAGAGGAGTGCACCACGCTTTTCACTGGGCCCAGCCCAGGTCCCCTTTTTCCCAACACTGGCGCTCCGAGCCTTGCGTGCGAGCGTTACGTGAGACCCGCAATTCCCTTTCGACCACCAGTACACCACTCCAGCCTTGCTGAAAATGCAACTCATCGCCTACGAAAGTTTCAGTCGCCTACAAAAGTTTCAGCGGCTTGGCCTACTGGACCACAATGGTTGGCGGCACCAGCCAAAAGAGAAAGAATGTGCGATGCTGGCAGTTCAGAAAAGCTTGGCCCGCAGTAAGGCACGCCCAAGTAAGGTGATATCCTGTTCATGGGTTGCATATTATATCTCATAATCTTGACAACCACCTCGTGTCTGGTATTGGTCAGCACGCCTCTGCCTTGGATGGGGGTTCAACTACCAACCATTAGCATTATTGTTGATACTTCATTATCTGTATTCCTTCAAACCAACGGTAAATTACCCAGCTATTTTCAAGGTGATGCCGCATGCATGCTCCCGCAACTTTCGGAGCCTTCTTGATGCAGCGCCAACCAGGAGGATGGAGACGCTGGTTCACCATGATAGCCAAAGGTAAGTGTCCTTGTTGCTTCGTACATTTCTCCTCCTACAACCTCTGATCCCCTCCATAGCCCAGCTCGAAGGTTCTCTCCCTCTACCTTTGCACCCTGGAGCTTCTCCCACTTCTTCCTACGACTACTCCATCGCCATGGAGGTATTCTTGCTCACCCTGCACCCCCAAGGGCTCTCCCTCACTTCCCCTCTTGGTGGAGCGGCAACATGACTGCTTTGTGAATGAGAGGACTACTCGTTGCACAGAGCGATAGGCTTCCCGGCCAACACTACCTCTTGGGCAATGAATGAGAGGACTACTCATTGCAGTGCCTGCTATGAGAGGACTGCTTTGTGAATGAGAGGACTACTCATTGCACAGGTAGTACTACCTAGTTTTATTTTGCCTCCTTAGCAGGCAATCCTGCTTTTGGCAGCACCATCATTTCAGACTTATATCTGCTTGCAGGTCCCTTATCTACCTTTAAAGCTGTCTACGTTCGGGACCTGCCCATCATGACCTACTGAAAAGCTACCGGGATCTTCTAGCCCCAGCTGACTTGCTGGAAAATCTCTGTAGGGTCCCCAGTGTATTCCACTTAATATTTCCCTGTCTGCCGTCTCTAAGTATGTCCCTGCTGTTCCCTGATCCTACCCCTATTCCTCCCTCATCTGAGGCAAAGACACACATCACCGCCAACAGAGTTAACTTAGCACCAGGAGTCAGACTGGGACCAAGAACTCAGCAGGCAAACAGTGTCACACGGCATACATATATCAGTGACAGATCACAAGCACACTTGAAAAATGCACCAAACAGACTTAACCATGGAAGTCTCAGCAGGCAGATCAAAGGCAGAGAAATCCACAATCTCGAGCTGAAAACTCTGTGGGTCATTACACAGTTATTTACAGTAATTGAGCAATACTGATCCATCTCTCCTGCGCGTCGCGTTCCTCCCCTTTAACCGGCACCCTGCTCAGGTTGCTCAGGTGAACAGAGTTAGGGAACCAAGTCATACCCGCCCCATGCATTCACGATCAAGCTCGGGGCCAACCCAACAACATAATGTACGAGTGTGCTGTACGCGTCAAGAATTGTCTAATGTTGTGGCCGGAAGACGACTCAAGAATTAATCAATGCCACTTGTGGCCAACCTGGGCCCCTCTGCTGCATCTACTGAAGCTGGGTTTGTTCACTCCCAGCTCATTTGCTGCACCTGACCAAATGGGAGGAGGAGCAAAAGCAGAGGAGGAGGAGGAGGAAGAGAAGGTCAAAACGCCACATCCGCCCATGCATGCCTGACCACAGATTAGTTTCACAAGAAAACCGGTCAGACTGGGTAACGTAACAGGGCAGCCTGAGGACAGTTGAGAGCATCACAGCAAGAAATCTGGGAACAAACTCTGCAGCACCTTTCTCTATGTGCATTGTTCAGCTCATCTTTACTGCGCTCTTCATCTTCACGTGAGTGAGCTGTGCCAGACGGACATAGGAAGGGGCCTTTCTCATTGCGAACTGAGCTCGTCTTGTTTTCGAGAGCGCAATGACACCCCTGATTGATGGCAGTGCTGGAAAAAAGAGCATCACGGATGCCATCACCATGTGGTCCAGCCCAGATGCAATGCGTCCATGGAATGGCGCACTGAGGTCGAGCGCATCCAGAGGGTTCCTCCGCTTATGGCCTCAAAGATCTTCTCTTGAACCTCTTGCTTGCAGATTGGCGGACTTCCTCCGCCAATCTCCAGCCCATTTTACACCATGTCATACGCGAGAGCATGCCTGCTTCGGAGATTACTCATGTACTCAGCAACTGCTGCCGTGAACGGATAATGTGCATTCTCCAGCCGCTGATTATCTTCATCCCACTCGAATGAAGGAAACTCCATCACCCACAACATTGTATCTTGTGACTTGTTGATAGGTCCAAGCTCATTGACCAGATAATTTCTCAGGAAGTCTAACGACTTGTTGACAAAGGCTACTTCCCCTGCAGTTGAAGTTCCTGCCCTCTGCTCCACGTTGAAGTTCTGCTCCACCCCGTTTTACACCATGGCATATGTGCGAACGTGTGCGTTTCCGAGGCTACTCATGTCCCTAGCAACCACTGCTGCAGTGGCGTGTTCAGTGCATGCATGCATGTACCACTCCCACATCATGTATTCCACCTTCCATCCACAGCCCATCTCCCACCAAAAATATAAGAACTGAGACGACTCTCAAGAGTTGAACGCCACTTGCACCTCCCATTGCAATCAAAACGACTCTCAACCGGTTCGGTCAACCTCATGCTAAGAAGAGAATCAGACAAATAAGGTGCAGCTTTGAATAACTATTTGTGCTTGCCGACTCACACCTGTCATTGATGGCATCATCTGTCAACGACTCAACGGTGACTCAGAGGTAGTACGAGCCAATTTGCAAAACCGAGTGATACATTGACAAGTACCACCACATCAACAGCGACAATCACCATACGTTGCCTTCATCTCATGTCATGCATCCTTCTTCACCCTTCCCCCCCTATGCTCTCAATCCCAGCAGAGGAGCTCTACGCCTCGATGGCATCATCTGTCAACGACTCAACGGTGACTCAGAGGTAGTACGAGCCAATTTGCAAAACCGAGTGATATTGACAAGTACCACCACATCAACAGCGACAATCACCATACGTTGCCTTCATCGCATGTCATGCATCCTTCTTCACCCTTCCTCCCCTATGCTCTCAATCCCAGCAGAGGAGCTCTATGGCTCGATGTCAACCAAACTGCCTCTCAACGGTGTTCTGCGCAGCACTACTTCTCGCGCCACTGCCAAAATGTCAGACCAAGCTGGCGCAGGCAGTCTGACTGCTTATGTAGCCTCTTGTAGGAAACAAGCCCAATACCGAACTGCAAGTCTGCAAGGAATCTGCACAAAGAAACTCAAATCACAAGCTCTAAATGGTGACCAGACTAGTAGCAGAAACCGCAAAGCAATGCTCACATCCGACCAAGAGCAGTCAAAGTTCAAGTCTGTTCGATGATGAAAAACCCTCAAGAGTCTCCTGAGGTCCTAGTAATGAACACAGCAACAGCAGGAAAAGTTCTGAGTTCAGGCTGGCCTCTCAACCTGCAGGCATGACCACCTATTCTATCCTCTACACAACACAACACCATGATAGTAAAGCAGCATTGAGCACTGGATCTTTTTGAGACAGGAGCTGCATAAACAGCTGGCTCTTCTTGAATACATGGCTCATGTGCCAGTTTAGTCGCATAGCTGCACCTAAAATACCTCCACAAACGGTTGGTTGTTCCTTAGACAGGAGCTGCATATCCACGCTACTGAGCCTGTGTCTTTGTACTTCACCTTGCTAAGATCAAATATTTCTCGTACCTCGCTTGCCCCGCCTTCCAGGATTCCCTCCAGCCAGTCCATCGCTTTCTGACGCTTCACAACATCTTCCGGACCATCATCCTTGAACATATCCTTTCCAACGTTATTCATTCTCCGCTTGAGGTCTTCCAGGTCTCCAAAGTCCAGACCAGCATTACCCACTGCTCCGATCACAAAGCTTGTCCAGTTGGCCACGCCACCCAAGTCTGGCACAAGCTGATGGATCCCCATAGACATTGCACAGCCGGTTTTCAACAGCACAGTCACAGCGAGAATTGTCCACTTGAAGAGAGTCCACGCATGCCGACTTTCCTCTTTTGGAAGATGCAACTTCTTCCCCTTCTGGCCACACACAGCATGGCAGCAGTCTCGGGATTCACACATGAGGTGCAGCTCAACTGCCCTGAGGCCAATCAGGAAACTCAGTTTCTGGCAAGAGCCAGATGTCCTCTCAGTGATGTAAACACGATGAGGTAGGCGATGACTGTGCTGCTCAGTGGCAAAAACAGATATGCTAGACAGAGCACTAGAGACTCTTGCAAATGCATTTCTTTGCTCTTCCCTCTGAATGTTCAGCACTTCTTTCATCTCGCTGATGGACCGAAAATTTCGGTCAACTTTTCTACCCACATCACGCACCAAGTCAGCTAACTCTCGAGCATATCTTGGAGGCTGTTCACATCCAACCGCAAGATCGTGCATAGTGCTTGTCACCGGATCACCCACCTGTTGAACATTGCTTGTGGGCTGGTCACATTCAAGTGGTGCCTCAGAGCAGTCCCCGAACCTGCCAGTGCTCTTTTCGAAATCAGAATGTTGCGGTCTTTGTCCTGAGTTCCCTTCAACTACATTGAAGCTCTGACAATCTCTGTGCAGCTCAATTTTCTGAACGGACAGGTGACACTCCAGTGTTTTCGGTCTGATTAACGCCGTCGCATTGTCGCAAGATGGTGGAACAATTTCCTTGCCCTGCTCATCCCAAATGGCAGGCCATGAATGATTGTAATTATTTTCCTCCCTCTCCATCCCCTCGATCAGCTTTTCTTCTGTGACAGTCTGATCGTCACGCCGACACCTCCGCTGAACAATTGGACATGTTGTCAAACAGCGTGGGCGCACAATTTTCGTCACCAGATCCACACCTGGGAGACCAGTCGGCTYGCTGCAAAGTTGGTAGATGGCTTTCACAATGTTCCTATCAACCCATTCAGCTGCTTCTGCAACAGAAACATCAGGTGATGATACCAAGACGTCAATCCAATCGTCATGGATTCCCCCAAACTCCACATAGATCTCATGGCCATTGCAAAATATGTAAGAGAGGTCCGTCTGGCAGTTGTAAACACCCTTGTTGTGGAATTCCTCATGGAAGCGTACCTGCAAATTCACCACAAAGCAAATCCAGAATTATCAATCTGAACTGTTTATACTGGCTATATGCATGGATGTGTTCCCATTCATATGGTGTGAGCATAGGACATACAGCTGCACAGAGAGACGAAGGATGCGGGAAACAATGTCTTATCACAGCTCACTGCCACCAACCAGTAAACAGTGTTGTGTAATGTCCTGAGGTTCTCAATGCATTCATCACCATGACTGTTAGAGTGGGTTACTTTGCACCCTGCTGATTGTACACTAAATTTAATTACTTACCTTATCTATAACTTTCTGGATGGCACCCCTCACCTGCGGGCCGTGGCCAAACTTTTGCGGACTGACTGTGCAGAGTGGACTGAACCCACGGGCCTACCGAACTACCTGTAGGACGATTACTATGTTACCTGGGGCTTCGGGATCGAGACTGACATGGGATGCTTGTATGTGTGCAATCCTTTCATCTCTCTCTCTCTCTCTCTCTCTCTCTCTCTCTCTCTCTCTCTCTCTCTCTCTCTCTCTCTCTCTCTCTCTCTCTCTCTCTCTCTCACACA